AACAAGTAAATTTCTAATATTGCGTGTCTGGCCCGGATGGTGTGCTAAGAGGACACGAGGTTTATACTAGTTCGGACAGAATGTCCCTACGTCCAGTTCATTGCTGCTGCTCGTGTTACTAGCACTAAAAGTTCGTAGTAGGGGTTACAAATGGTCGAGTGAGGAATAGGTCCCAAGTCTCTGGTGGAAAGAACAAATGGGTGCCGAGAGCTTGGTCGCTGCTCGGCTATATGTTCGAGGCTCAATGCTAGTGGTTTTTGATCTGATGCAGTGCGATGCCGTGCGATGCCCCTTAATAGGACGCCCTGCTTTCCCTTTTATAGGCTAAGGGAAAGCACGGGGTACAACGGGAGAAAAAAGGAGAATGAGAGGGAGAGGAAGTCTTTCAGGGTCACCGGGCCTTTCTTTTCCTTTGTGCGGGCCCCACTGACACGGCAGGTGGTGACAGGGACAGCTCCACGCCGGGCGCCTGTCCGCCGATGATGCCATGCCCTGGCGTTGTCAGCGGGTTGTAACGTCCCACTCTGCCCCTGCGGGCGGCGCGGCAAACCAGCGTGCTGATCAACGGCCGTATATGGAGTAGGCAGCATAGTGACCACGCGTCCGTCACTATGGGCGATGTGAGTTCTCTGGAAAGACATGTAGTGGGGACAAGTCGTGTTGAGATGTGACCGCTCCCTACACGATGCTAGAACTTTGACCTTGGGTTGTACTTTCTGGCTGGTAGTGGTTGGCGGCAGCGTGAACTTCTGTTAGGAGCCGTGCCCGAGGGATCGGGCGAGGCAAAGCTAGCCCTCAGACGTCGGGGAGGCGGAGCCCACCCTCAGGGGTTGGGTGATGTAGAGCCCACGGCCTCGGTGTCGGGCGAGGGGGAGCTAGCCCTCGGGGTCGGCGAGAGGTAGAGCCCATGGCCTCGGTGTTGGGCGAGGCGGAGCCTGTCCCCAGAGGTTGGGCGAGGCGGATCGCACGACTTTGGGGTTGGGTGAGGCGGATCGCACGACTTTGGGGTTGGGCGAGGTGGAGCCTGCCCTTAGAGTTTGGGCAAGGCGGAGCCTGTCCTGAGTGGTCGGGCGAGGCAGATCCTACGACCTTGGGGTCAGGCGAGGCGGAGCCCACGTCCAGTGGTCAGACGAGGCAGAGCCCACGGCCTCGGTGTCAGTTGGAGCTGTAGTCGCACCTTTGACTACCTAGATGGATTAATGTATAAAGACCATTAGTCCCTCCTCTTCGGGTACCCTAGTATTGGTCCCTGATAGCTTGTGTAGCCTTGTTATTGAGCGTTTCTAGTGAGCTTAGGAGCTTTGTGTGTTTTGCATCACTAGTTGTGTAGGAGCTCCCCCGGTTGTTTGAAGTACTAGTTGCATAGGTTTATGTGACCTTGTAAGCTAGAATTGTTAGGTGAGCTCTAGCTCGCCCGATACCTTTTTGCTTAACTAGGATCTTTTATAAGGTGCTTGAGAACTTAGATAGAGGGGTATAGTCTTGGCTAGACCGATAGTTTTAATTTCACATTTGTTTCGGTTAGCCGGCGTGATTAATTTTAGAAAGGACTATTCACCACCCCTTTAGTCCGCCATCTCAAGCCTACACCGGTGGGGCACACCCTGCCCTCACTGCATTGGCGAACCAGCGGCCCCCACCTGCTATCCGATGAACCTACTCGGGAAGTGCTTCAACTGTCTCTCCACCGTGCACAGGGTGGCAACCTGCAAGCTGCCTCCACATTGCCTCCGATGCAAGGGGTCCCGACACCTCGCGCGGGACTGTAAGAGGTGGTGGACTGTGCCTCCTTCCAGAGAAGGCCGCCCACGACAACCTATCTAGGTGCATATCTCGGGCACCCAGACGGGTACTCAGGGCGACATGCCTAGCGCGGCAGGAGCCATGCCGAGTGCGACTACGCGCGGCGGTAGTGGGTGGAGACGTCGGAGGCATCGACGATGACTGAAGGGGGATGACACCGCTGTGGCTACGAGTGTTGCCACCAACAATCCTGGGTGGTCGGCAGCGGCCCCCCAAATAGCACCAAACTTCACCTCGGCCGTGGCTGGAGCTTAGGGATGGCACGGTGGGCTGACCAACGAGACCGGCATCATTGAGCCTGGCTCGTTGTTGCTGACGCTGTACCCGGACGTCACGCATGATCGTGACATCATGAAGGACCCGATGTTAGAGGAGTTTGCAGCCTCGCTCGTCGACAATCGGATCGTCACGTGGCCTTACCTTGAGCACCTGTCATCACCATCGGCGGCCCCAGCTACAGGATGAGGCCCCGGCGGTGGCGTCCCCCTAGCTGGAGGATGTGGTGGTGGTCTCCTGTGAGCTGCGGACACCACCCCCGCGCGCCATTCAGTGGACAGTGAACTCGCTGAAGACAAACACGGAGCTCAGCTACCCGCCAGGCTTTGGACCAGTCGACCTCGTGGTGCTGGCCCTACCAGTTCACCACCGGTGGATATCCACCAGGCTGTGGACAACGACGACTCCGCCAAACGCCACTTCGATAGCTTTATCAACAATGTGACGCGCAAGAGGGACTCTCCGCTGATTCATGAGCCTCCCAAGCAACCTCCTCCTAAGCCGGTGCTGCCGTGGCGGAGCAGGTGGCTAGCGGCTCAGAGCCTCTCTCGAGTACTAGCTTCCAAGCGAGTTGAGGTGTTGATTATGCAATGTATGGACTACACCAAGCGTCCACTAGCGCCATCCACGTTGGAGCCGGAGGCCTTTGACAAGCTCTTCGATGGCAACATGACTGCGTCCAACACCGAGGTGCTGGACGCGCTCTTCACGGCCGTTGGATAGGGCTTGTCCAGGTAGCCACGAAGACGCAAGTCCACCTCTTAGATCAGAAAGCTACGTCGATATTGGTTGTTTCCTTTTATGTAATTCCGAAACAAGAGGTCTTTGCTAGGATGGTTCAGCTTCGGCTGTATTAGGTCGACCTCCTTCGGCACTCGATAGAAACGCGTTGTATGTTTGTTTAAACTCTTCTACTTAATACAATAATACGCAAATCTTTTACGTATTTGAGAAAAAGAACGGTGGCAGGCATCGACGAAAAAGCATTCAGAAAATAGAGTCCTTTTGCCTCTACTTGCTTGACACCTGGGGCGTGTTTGATAGGGTGGCCTGAGGGCCTGGCTATGCTCTCGGGCTGCAATTTCCGTGTTTGATGGTCTGTTACTATTCCTCAGCCCGGCTCGCACGGTCCTCAAAACATCAAAATAGGTGGCTCCCAAGAAACGAGATTGGGATTAGTTTCTTTTTGGCCCGGCTACCTGCAGCGCTCGTGGGCATGCGTGGGCGTGATGGATTCACCGCCCATTTCCTCCTCTCTCATGCACTGGCCACCGCTTCTTCTTCTACGGGACTCCTAACTCCTCGTCTCGTGCAGGTCCACCTCCACCTCCCTGGAGCCCCTTCTCACGGCGGCCGCCATGGCCGGATCTCGTCCCATGCCACTCCTCACGGCGGCAGCCATGGTCGGATCTCTAGCCCTCCTCCATGGCCGAATCTCGTCCTACGCCAAGACCGGATCTCGTCCCGCGCCACCATGGCCGGGGGCGGGAGCTTGCCCCGCGCCATGGCTAGGGCTATAGTTCGCCCCGTGCCACCATGGCCAGAGGGCCGAGCTCACTTCGCCGCCATGGTTAGGGGCCGGAGGCCATCCCACGCTATGGCTGGAGCTTGCCCATGCCACGCCGCCCCAACCCGCGCCATGGACGGGCTCCGGAGGTTGCGCTGCGTCGCCATGGCTGGGAGCGGGAGCTTGCCCACGCCGCCGCGCTGAGCCATCCGCGCGCGGGCGTGGTGCTCGACGAAATGTCAAAAAGGTGAGAGTGTGGTGGTAAGCCTACCGAACGTGTACTGCAGAGTAGCCATACCTCCTTGACCAGAAATCAAACACGATCAGAGTTGACCAGGCTTGTCTGGACCAGTTGAACCAAACACGATCCAGGTTGCACCATAAGAACGCTCGGGCTGGCCGCGGCCAGGCTAGCCAGCCGTGCTGGCAGGGGCAGCTTATCAAACACGCCCTCCTCCACTAGCCGCCGCCTCCTTGAAATGAAAAGGAAAAATCTCGTTGCATTGGACAAGAACATTGGAACACGCTTACTCTTGCAGTACGGACCTGAAAGCGCTCAGGAAGCTCAACTGCAGCTCGTTCGCGCGGTGCTAACATCCAAGAATCCAACCTAATCAAGCTTTACAAACGCTTAACTTAAAATGAAGTCCGGAAGTCCCCATGGCCCTGTCGCTATCGGCCATCTAATCGCCGAAGTTTTTAAGAGGCGGTTGTTTTGTCGATCAGCATGGGCGGGGAGCAGCGACAGCACGAGCTCGAGAGCAGCTCAGACGTTGGTGTCACGGGGCCCGGACGCACACCATCCGCCCGTGCTTATCCCAAACCTTTGCATTGATCGGTTGACCCACCCACCGGACCCAATTAGAGATCTAGGAGTAGAACCAATACGCTTCTTTTTTTTTTCCTCCCCCGCCCTCTCTTGGGGTCTGTCCGGTCAAGAACGTCAGCAGTTGTAGAGCTAGTGAGCTACTGAAAGAAAGATGGGGTGAGATGAGAGGAAGCGGTCCAATTCCAAGGCATCAGTGCATCACACCACGCAACCTTCTCCCTGTCGCCGCCGAGCATTGGAAAAGAAGAAACCGAGCACCCACGCTACCCTTCGTTCGCGAGAACAAACCTGAAATCTGCTCTGGAACTTGTTCGGGGCCAACGTTTCGGATCACTCCAGTCTAGAACAAATCAAAGGAATCATGTAGATTTTTCTGAAACCAATGGGTTTCGTTTTCCATTTGGATTTTTCATTCAATCAACGGCCAGCGATTTCACCGCCAGCTTACATGGCTTACATACACCAATCGTAGAGTACGCGGGAGTAGTTCGTACAATCCGACGACCCGTCGTCCGTCCCTCCTCTTCCGGAGTCCCGCCGACAGGGAAAGGGATGAACTTTGACGGGATAGGAGGCTCCTGCTCCTCAGATCTTGTCCTTGAGCTTGTCGCCCTTGACGACGGGGTTGGCGCGCGCGATGGCGTCGCGGCCGGCGGCGCGGAAGTCGAAGGCGCACGCGTGACGCTCTGGGTACCGGTGCACGCCGCAGAAGGTGGCGCCGCAGCGGCACGCGAACCCCGTCAGGCCCACGCGCTTCCGGCAGCTGGCGCACCTGCCGGCCTTGGCGCCCGCAGCAGAGGCCGCCGTCGCCGCCGGAGGCTCGGGCTCGGGAGAGACGGCGGCCGCGCCGGCGACCGCCGAGGAGGAAGGCTGGACGGCCGACGCGGCAGGAGCGGAGGGGCCCGGCGCCGCGCCTGCTGGCTGCTGGTACAGATCGCGGTAGCACTTGGAGCAGAGGTCCAGCGTCGCGGGGCTGCCGAAGAAGCCGCAGTTGTTGGCGCACAGGCGGTGGCCCTCCTGCCACCTCTGCTGCTGCTGCTCCTCCGCCATGGCCGCCGGACGAAACCGAGGGAACGGGAAGGTTGTGTTGGGGTGCTCGGTGGGGGGGAGGGAACGGGAAGCGGAGGGCGGAAGGGATTAAAAAGGCGTAGCGTAAAGTGGCCGAAAGGTGGGGAGTGGGGATCGATTTGGCTTTCGTTTCAAGGGACGGGAAGGGATAGCGACCACCGTACGACAAGTCGACCGCGGAGTGACGGCGATGCCGATGGCGATGGCGACGCCGGCGACGGTTGGTTGGCTGCTACGGCGGGGTGAGCGGTGACGGCAAGGAGCATGGCACGAGGACAACGGGGGAATCCAACGGAACGGAACGGGTGTCTGTTACGTGCGCGCCTGTTTGTTCAGACTTCAGAGCTGCCGATGCGTACCTACCGTGCCGTCCGGAGTCCAGAAGTTGAGAGCTTCGCTCGCCTACTAGTCACCAAGTCTGTACAGGATCCACTTCTGGTTCTACTCAGATTTTACGGATAACAATCGTATATATAGACGATATATATTCAAATAATCACGTTCCAGTCAAATTACATAAACTTGTAATATGTGTGTTTTGAAAAAAGTATATATATGACACAAATTGCTATCTTTAAAAGTGATTGGCGGCCTTGGCGTCGGCATTGGCGGCCTAAAAGGATAATATGGAGCTGCTGTACTAAACTCCTCCCTTCGCCAATCCAGGTTTTGAACTTGCGCCATGAGGGTGATCTTGACTTCTTTGTATCACTTGGCCGATAAGCATGCTTCACTTCACTCTCTTTTTTGGCCTAGTTGAATTCAATTGGTCATTCACTTTCATTTCAGTAATTTTCTATCGTCCTTTAACAATGGCCGATTGACGAAACATGTTGCAATCTTTGGTGGTATGTTTTAACGAATTATGTAACTTACAATAAATTTGTTCTTGCATTGATGGAGATATATGGTGATTAGAAATTCTAATAAATTTTTTCTCTACTAAAACATCAACTATATGATCACACATGCTCAAATCAAAGGTGTATTTTTTTCTATTTAGCCGATCCTGCTGTGAGAACGGCCTTAGAGCTGAGTAAACGAAAGATTCAGATTTGACATCCACACATTCAACTATGCATTGTCTTTTGCAACTTAACCGATGTTCTTGGATATGATACTATAGTAGCATCGGTTTCTATAACATCTTTTATCCTTGGCTTTATGTCTTTCAAACCAAAATAATCACAACATCTATGTCTCATTTTAGACCAAGTATAAACGGAGTATAAAAGAACAAAAGCTACCCATGTAGATATAACTAGGGACAATAGGATGTTTTTAATTTCATGGCACCTAATCATAACTATGGACTTAAGCTTGTGAAGTGTCACCTTGTTGTTGCCTTCGCCGACATAATCTTCTGCCCACCTTATCATATTTGTAATTCCAATAATACTAGTTCCTTCAAACCTAGGAAGATTTAGGTGGTTGTAGCATGAAATGTATCACAGAGAGTTGTCAATAGAGGTATTCCAGACAGTTCCAAAACTTCAAGGGAAAATGACCGCCGAAATGGAGGTATGTTTTTTTAGTTTTAGGTAGTTGGACAGGCACAACCTTTTCATATTGTAAAAATAATCTAAAACCCTTGTCCACCCCCATGACATAGGGCCTGTTCGGCAGGACTGAAAAATACTGTTCCGGCTGATTGTTGTGAGAGAAAAATACTGTACTGGCAGGACGTGAACAATAATTTGGTGAGTGGCGGAACAAGCCAGCCGAACACGCCCATAGCTACCAAAATAGCCATCAATATCTAGCTTATAAAAAAATTACGGGACCATAGATCAGTGCCAAGTTAGTTAGTTTATTCTTCAGGTGTAGTTTCACCCTTTTAGCTTTAATGACAGACTGACTTTCTCTAGAAACACTACTAGGAATTTCCACATTCATGACGAACAGCTTTCGTCACTGAAAAATCTAAATTCATCATAATTTCAGTTTTATGACGAATTTATGACAAAAACAGTTCGTCATAGAAAGCGCGTCGTACTTGAACTTCCATGATGAATCTAGAAATTCATCATAGAAGTGTCTTGATCTATGATAAAAAAACTGATCGTCATAGAAGTATTTTGGCATGCGTGGGAGGGGATAGCCACGCTGGCGGTACTTTCGTTCGAGATGCTTTCCATGTGTACATGCTATAGCCGGTTGCATTGAAGATGGTTCGGGTCACATGTCACCTTCTTATTGCACATCGTGGTCCTCTCTTGTTCTTGCATGTTTCAGGATCTAACTAGACCACGTGTCGGGTCCCTGTTGTTCTAGATGTCAGTTTTCTATTGGCACACGTGTCATGTTACAGTTGGGTCACGTGTCACTTCTTCATTGGACCATGTGTCGCATTTTTATTGGTCCACATGGCGTGACCACAATACCCCGCGTGTCTTTCTTTTACTCGATGATGTGTCACGATGTTGTACGTCTGCGTGTCAGTATTTTATTGGGCCACGTGTCGCGTCGTGAGCTACCATGCATCTTTTTTTATTCGACCACGTGGAATGACGGATTTGTACACGTATTACCACGTATTTGGTTTGTATTGGCCCATGTGACTTGTCCTGCCACTTACACGTGTCATTCACTGGTTTGTCCACGTATCAGATTCTTATTTAACAATGTATCATGTGCTGGATCTACCACGTGCACACCAATCATTACATCAAAAAATAATTTTAGATCTAAACTGCTACACAAAATGACTACACACATAATTATATTGAACCTGAATCAAATAATAGCAGTTCAGCTCAACAACAAACCACTGACAGAATGCAAATTAAATACATTACTAAGTTGCTCAAGGCAGAGTTGGATGTCATCAGAGGATATACATACTTACAGATAACTTGGCCACAAATTCATTGAGATGTTCGATCTATCGCTTGTAATGTTTCCAGTGTGGGAAAATTGGTACTTGAGACCTGACTACTACACCTGCCTCTAAGGCAAACTTGGCAACTTGCAATGGATCATGTGGCCTTCTGTTCTCCTTGACAACCGAGATGGGCATCCTTGTTCCCATTGATTGGGTGGTTTTGTCAAACCAAACTCCCTTAGATGCTTGCCTCGACTTCTTCACTCTTCTCTGCAATGGTACTACATAGTTTTTATACATTCAGATTGTGGTAGTAGTCATGAGTGGCTTTCATCTATGGTGAACCCAACTCATGTCTTCGATAAAATTTGTTGAACTTGCAAGCTCCATGCAGCGAAGAGTTCATCTGAACAAGTGTCACCTTGATCTAATGCCCAACGGAGGAGACATAGTTGTTGTGTTTTTACTACACACGCCAGAAAGTCCGCCGCTATCCATTTGATCTCTCGTAGGATAATAAAAATTGTACCCATCTCTAGCTAGCTGCTGCATGCATTTGCAAAAACCAACCAAGAGAAATTGCTTGCGAAAGCAACTCCTTTTTTCTCTTCAGTCTGTCCTTCAACTATTGTGACTGTGTTTTTGGATTGAAATAACTACAGAGGCTTTCCTCCTGTATTCAATTCACTATTGGCAACCGTGTTAGGGTTGCTTTGTGCCTTGGTTTGGTAATCCAGACACATATGAGTATACGTACTTGGCATGCTAGTAGAACTGATTAATGATCTCGCCGTAGTGGTTGAAGCATGTTGTGTGAAAAGGAATGCTTTTTGTCAATGGCTTATGCAGTGTATATGAACCTATAACAAGTACTTGTTGTAGTTGAATAGAATAGTCATGTACACAATAGATAGTCCGCATAGTGCAGTACTGATCTCGGTGGACAAAGCATATGGCCCTGTTCTTCAGCACTACTTCAACAGTACTTTTCAACGAACAAATAATGTTTTCCTCTCGCAACAAATTAGCATAATTATCAGCATAAGCCAAATTTCAGCGAAACGAATAGAGACTATGTGTCCGCTCAAGCACAAGTTTATAACTGAGCATACCGAACATTTTTAGAATACAAAGCCAGAAATCCAAAGCAAAGTGCAGTTTTAGAATACATGTTTTCCCAAAGATTATACATGAAATCTCCTACAAATCATCATTATCTCCAAACATGTGATCTCTGCCATCACAGTTACTGTCGTCACTATAATACTGGATTCTAGTATCGTCATCTTCATCCTCACTGACTTTAAGTATGCCAACTGCTTTCATCTTATCTCTTAGAAAGTCTTCTAAATTGGCTTCAATCACAGTGGCTTCTCCATCATGACTAGCTTCGTGCATAACTTGATCACCATTACCCTCCAGCACTTCATGCTCATTGTTAGAACAGTGATAATCTTGGTGCACTTGATGCTCTATTTCATTCACGTTATACATATCCCAATGTTCAAACTTCTGCACGACCCACCAATCTTTGCCCAAGGAAGTGTCCTGCAGATAAAAAATATTCCTTACTTGTGTCGCAAGAATGAAAGGCTCACCCTCGTACCACGACGATGTAATGTTGATGGCTTTGAAATGTCCATCATCGTCAATGCCTACAGACTTCGTATTGCTAGCTAGATTGTATCAGTCATAGCGTAGAAGAACCACCATCCTATGGCTTTGTACGCTGGAGTTATACATCAACTGAATAACATCTCTAAGGACACCATAAAATTCCATTGTTTCACCTTCATGTGTGACGGTGGCCATGACAACACTGTTCTGTGTATGTAGAAATTTCTTGCGATCAATAGTGCTATACCTTACTCCATTAATACTAAAAGCTGCATAGACCCTGACTTGGGTATCAAGGCCACATGATAGTGCATACAAACCTTCACTGACCTCTGTGAGTTTCTCTCTACGCAGCTCCTTGATCTACACACAAACATGAAACCACAGTCACCACTAAGTTGTCATATAATTTTGCCAATGATCTGCCTAACAGAACTAAAATATGCTAATCACGTACATGAGACTTAAAACACGCTAGAAGCTCTACTACTAGCCTACTATCAACATCATCACTTGCCCCTTCTTTCTATAAACTTTGTCT